ATGTGAGTAAGACTTTTAAGCAGGTCAACATTCACAAGGCTGCAGGGCCAGACGGATTACCAGGACGTGTACTCCGAGCATGCGCTGACCAACTGGCAAGTGTCTTCACTGACATTTTCAACATGTCCCTGACTGAGTCTGTAATACCAATATGTTTCAAGCAGACCACCATAGTCCCTGTGACCAAGAACACTAACATAACCTGCCTAAATGACTACCGACCCGTAGCACTCATGTCTGTAGCCATGAAGTGCTTTGAAAGGCTGGTCATGGCTCACATCAACACCATTATCCCAGAAACCCTAGACCCACTCCAATTTGCATACCGCCCAACAGATCCACAGATGATGCAATCTCTATTGCACTCCACACTGCCCTTTCCCACCTGGATAAGAGGAACACCTATGTGAGAATGCTATTCATTGACTACAGCTCAGCGTTCAACACCATAGTGCCCTCAAAGCTCATCACTAAGCTAAGGACCCTGGGACTAAACACCTCCCTCTGCAACTGGATCCTGGACTTCCTGACGGGCCGCCCCCAGGTGGTAAGGGTAGGTAACAACACATCTGCCACGCTGATCCTCAACACGGGGGCCCCTCAGGGGTGCATGCTCAGTCCCCTCCTGTACTCCCTGTTCACCCATGACTGCATGGCCAGGCACGACTCCAACACCATCATTAAGTTTTCCGACAACACAACAGTGGTAGGCCTGATCACCGACAATGATGAGACAGCCTATAGGGAGGAGGTAAGAGACCTGGCCATGTGGTGCCAGGATAACAACCTCTCCCTCAACGTGATCAAGACAAAGGATATGATTGTGGACTACAGGAAAAAAAGGAGGACTGAGCACGCCCCATTTTCATCGACGGGGCTGTAGTGGAACAGGTTGAGAGCTTCAAGTTCTTTGGTGTCCACATCACCTAACGAACTATCATGGTCCAAACACACCAAGACAGTCGTGAAGAGGGCACGACAAAGCCTATTCCCCCTCAGGAGACTGAAAAGATTTGGCATGGGTCCTCAGATCCTCAAAAAGTTCTACAGCTGCACCATCGAGAGCATCCTGACTGGTTGCATCACCGCCTGGTCTGGCAACTGCTCGGCCTCCGACCGCAAGGCACTACAAAGGGTAGTACGTATGGCCCAAGCTTCCTGCCATCCAGGACCTCTATACCAGGCGGTGTCAGAGGAAGGCCCTAAATATTGTCAAAGACTCCAGCCACCCTAGTCATAGACTGTTCTCTCTGCTACCGCACGGCAATCGGTACCGGAGCGCCAAGTCTAGGTCCAAAAGGCTTCTTAACAGTTTCAATCCCCAAGCCATAAGACTCCTGAACAGCTAATCATGGCTACCCGGACTACTAAATGTTAGTCTAAACGAAATGTGAGATAATGTGTAGATGCTTTTTATAGTGGAGATGAAGTTCATAAAGTACCTGGCTGGGCTGATGAGACAGTGGATTGCGCAGATGGAACAGAGAAAATAGGCATTTTAATGTCATACATTTAGCTGGTGGTAACTTGTGGAATAGACACCGGCTGGAATGTGGTTTTAACCAATTAGCATTCAAGATTAGACCCACCCATTGTATAAAATACTGAATACTGTGGTAGCACATCAGGAAGGTATAGATGCGGAATGGAACGCAGACCATGGGGGATAGAAGGATGCTGGATTAGCGCAAAATCAACAAATCTGAACTAGCAAAGTGGATGGATATTCAATCCGTCATTATTGATGTATTGTAACAGGCCTACAATGTGGTTTCTAAAGTCCGATTTGGATATATTTGGCTGTTTTTGCTGCATAACAATGAGAAGTTGTCCCTTTTCAGGTTTAGAAGAAGTGACTGCTAAATGCTAACTCGTGTTCGTACAGTATAAACTGGTAGCATAGCTAGCATAGAGAAATCGGTGGTGGTAGTCAAAGTTGTTTTTAACTGTAATGCACTTGATTGGTGACGATGACATGAACATGTATTGGGGTTAACATCCATACAAGCATTATACTCCTATTTTTACCTCAACATAGTGTGAAATACACATATAAACAATACCCTAAATGTAGGATAAGTTTGCTGGGGGACAATAAGGAGATTCGGGATCTTTCCCCTAAGGCATCTTTCCCCAACACATTTCCATGGCATTTCCATTGTTTTGGTCGAGTTTCCATTGACCTTTTTACCTCATCTATAAATGTATGGAAATCTGGATACCCCCCCAACCTATTTCCATATAATGAGCAGGAACCAGTCACTTTAAATGAACAGATATTTATTATTCAGTTCATCTCTTAATACATCTCTACATACATTGTTATTACATAATCTCTATACAGATCGTTTCTATAAAAGAGACACTTGATCAGACACCAATTTATTTATATCTACAAATATAAATAATCTTACAGTTAGTACTATACATTACTCACCAATTATTATTTTTAATTATCTGATCTCAGAGAAACTTGTAAACATCAGCCGTACACAAATATAACCATAGAGGCAACTTATCTTGGCTGTTAAAAGTTAAAATATCTGTACATTATTATGAGAACAGCTATTTTCTACATTTAGTACATGCTTATTGTAAGGCTTCTCAAACTTGAGAGATTGGATATTGACAATAAGTGAGCCCCGTGTGCATCTCTGTCGCCCAACGTTGCAGAGGAAATGCAAAACATTTATGTGAAAGAAAAATAAGTATGCCTCCAACACTGTTCCCTTGAAGGCTGATGTTTGCAGGTATTTCTGCCTGAGCATTTTCTGCCTGTGTCAAGATTTGGGTTTCTTTACAGTCTATAACTAGTCCCATCCCTGTCAGTGTAAAAAAAAAACATTTGAGACCTTAGAGGAAACACGACCCTTTCAGGACAGCATCTGTTCCCTTAAGTCTAGTAAGGAAAGACACATCGTAGAGACACAGAACATGACTTTCTTCTGCACACTACATAGAAAGAGAACTTACATTTCACGAGAACTTCTCATACACACACTGTTAGTTGTTGTTGCCCTTCTGACATGAAGGCCCTAACTAAGTATTTCAATATGCCAGACCTAAAATATGATAGTTGCCCTTTCGCCCTCACGTGTCGTCCACTCAAGCTGACGTAGAAAGGCAACCCACTGTGTATTTTGGAATTCTGCAGTTAACATTGTGACTGAGGCACACTCAGCGTGTCTTAACGTCCCCAATGTAATTTGCAGTTGTGACCGATCCCTAGAAATGTGCTGCTTCCAGAATTAGTAGTTTGACACAACCGAAGGGGAGTGCAACACTAATACCCTTTTCGCACTACTGAGCCGAGCCAAGCTGAACCAAGCAGTACCGATGTGGCCTGGTGACAAATCCACCACAGTTGATAGAACTGCACTAGAAAGAACAATGTGAAAATAACAATTCGGATGCCAGCACCGTTTGGGTCGGCACGATAATGTGAAAAGGGTGATGACAGAACAGATAATAACTCCTAAAGACAAGCTGAGTTAACTCATCTTAAGTTTGCAACTTTGCAAAGAAATCAAGCACAAAAATTACATATCGGTTCATCACTATTGTATGCGTATGATGGTACCGGGAAACCTGAATGGGTCTCACATAGGAGCGATGAGCAGCCAACATTTTCTCCATTCAAAGCCTTTTCTAAGGTACTTATTCAAAAATGTATAGAGTTAGAAATATTCCAACCATTTGTAGGACATATGTCATTTAAAACTGATTTCAAAGTTTCAGCACTGAGACTAAATTGACCATGTCAATTTACGTAATTCCATGAAATAGATGTATCTGCTGAAATGTTTTCTAAAAAGATATTTAAGGACAAACACGAACTCAAACAAAATGTTATTTTACATATTGTATAGATTTTCAGAGCCTGGCGAGAATAAAAGCTCTGATAAAACGTCATGCTCAATTGAGGCATTTCACCGTTTTAGTCTATAGTGCATTCACCGCCGCAGAAAACATTGATCACATTATTTAAACGTGTTGTTGAATTGTGGCTCAGTTGGTAGAGCATAGAGCTTGCAACACCAGGGTTGTGGGTTTTGATTCCAACGGGGGACCAGTACAAAAAAATATGAAAATGTACGCACTCACTACTATAAGTGGCTCTGGATAAGAGCGCCTGCTAAATGACTGTAAATGTAACTCAGACCGTTCAGTCCCTCTTCCCTGATATTTGTTCATGGTGGTATAACAAAGAGTCCTAAGAGAAGGTAATCAGACTCTTAGTAGTCTAGCGGTTAAGAGCATTGGGCGAGTAACTGAAAGGTCACTGGTTCGAATCCCCCAGCCGAGTAGGTGAAACATCTGTTGATGTGCCCTTGAGCAAGGTACTTAACCCTAATTGCTCCAGGGTCGCCGTCAATAATGGCTGATCCCTGGCCGTGACCCCACTCTCCCGAGGGTTTTTCAGGGGGTGTTAAGATATGCAAAAAACTCATTTCCAATTCACACGTGTGAAATAGGACAAATATAAGCACCCACCTAATGATTATATTTCCCCTATACAGCAAATGGAGGTATTCTGAAAGCGGTCAAGCTTAACGTATAGTAGGGGTGTAGCTCAAGTCATTACAGCAAGTTGCAATGGTAGTAGCAGCATTTGATAAACAGAGTTAAGAGGCTCCACTTCCCTTTTTATCCCCAAAGGCCTGCAGGCAGTCATGTATCTCAAGCTTCCATTTCCATTTCCTCTTGGTACCAAGAGTGAAGATAACAGTTTATTTAAAATGGAGCTTCTACTTTTCATCCCTTCTACTTTTCTTCTCAGAATGTCAACAACTGGATCAAATAAATGTACTATGTTTTTTGTTCCACTGTTAAGTTTGCACCATGATAAGTAAGATACTTTTTACCCCCCCTTTTTCTCCCCAATTTCGTGATATCCAATTAGTTACAGTCTCATGGGTCTCCCGGTCGAAGCCGGCTGCAACACAGCCTCGGATCAAACCCTGGTCTGTAGTGACGCCTCTAGCACTGCGATGCAGTGCCTTAGACCGCTGCGCCACTCGGGGTCCCCCCCAGATAAAAAATAATTTAAATAAAAGAATGGGTCCAAATTAAATCAAAAGAGCTTGTTGAAGTTGTTGGGCTATAAATACTTTCTTTTATTCTTTTTGAAAAAGGGAAATGCAAACTTATGTAAAATAATCTTAATAGCCGAAATCGGATCAACATTTTCACCCTGAATTATGTGGAATCTTGAGGACTTTAGTTCCAGGAATGTCTGCTACCTTGATAAACACCTTTCCTTTCCATGCCTCCAATGGAACATGCACATTTCATATAATATTACTCCCCGTTACATATTTGAGAGCAATGATGGTTGAAGATGTGATAGTTAAATAGCTTAGTGTTACGCAGCATTCGGCAATAAGTTAGAAAACATATCTGAGAAGATGGTGCACGGGGGTCCTCTCTGCTAGCATTACAATTGTGTTTCCGATGTCGTTTGTTGGTCGTCCTCCATGTCTACCTGTACCTCACAGAGGTAAGCTTAGCTTAATGATCCCCGTTGCTAACGGTGACCGCCTCGGGACCAGCTGTGGAGGCGGGGAGGCGGGGCATCTTCTTCACTGGGCTTGGGATGTGCTGCTGGGAACAAGGAAGCAACATGGAAAAATCAGTTCATGCTTTTTAATGTCACTTTTTATGTAGCTAATATAATGATTGAATATGGAACAATGGTGAATGTTACATTGAAGCTAGTTTTTTTTCCCCTGTCTCTGTGTGCATTTAGTTCTTTTTAAGTGTGGTGCCTGCATGCAAACTAAATGTCTCTCAGTGACCTAGCCTCCATACAATGTGCTGCTTCCAGCCTCTAATATGTATGAGTAGTGACTGCAGGGGTTGGGAATATTATTTAATTTATCAATTATTTAATTTCCGATTTACGTTGAACAATACAATTGTATTGTACCTCAGTGGCTGTGGTGGAGTTGACCAGGCCAGCCTCCAGGGGCAGGTCGTCATTCAGGGAGCGTCTGGCGTACTCCCGGCGGTGCTTCTCGTCCACCCGGGTCAGGTACCACGTCCCAGGGAACAGCTCCTCCACAGAACCCTGGGGCACGTAAGGTGCTGGATGGGAAAGGGACGGACATGGTTTCAAATGAAAGGGTGTGTGTGTGTGTGTGTGTGTGTGTGTGTGTGTGTGTGAGTATGTATGTGTGTGTGTGTGTGTGTGTGAGTATGTGTGTGTGTGTGTGTGTGTGTGTGTGTGTGTGTGTGTGTGTGAGTATGTGTGTGTGTGTGTGTGTGTGTGTGTGTGAGTATGTGTGTGTGTGTGTGTGTGTGTGTGTGTGTGTGTGTGTGAGTATGTGTGTGTGTGTGTGTGTGTGTGTGTGTGTGTGTGTGTGTGTGTGTGTGTGTGTGTGTGTGTGTGTGTGTGTGTGTGTGTGTGTGTGTGTGTGTGTGTGTGTGTGTGTGTGTGTGTGTGAGTATGTGTGTGTGTGTGTGTGTGTGTGCAGACATACCTAGGTGGTGAGTATCTTCCCTCAGCTGCATGTTGTCTGCGAACATGGCAGGTGACACCTTCCTCCTAGAGTCCAGTCTGGCCTTGAGGTCACACAGGCTGGCACAGAGCTTATCCAATCCAGAGCCTGAGGGAGGGAGACGGCCAACCAACAGACGATAAATACAGACCCAAGGAAAGACCACATGACTTTCCCAATACCTACTCATTCATATTTCAACTAAATAACCAATGCTCAGTCCAAAAACAACCAGCTCAATCCATTACCCCTAGCACTAGACAATTCTCTTTCCCAGAAGGTAGGTGGCTCTATTGCCTCATTTGCCCACCCATCTAATCCTTAGTGATCTACAAGAAGTGTCAAGACTAGAGGGAGGGGGCAACAGGTTCATTTCTAGTCCCCTGGAGGGTAAATGTCAGTGGAACCCATCTCTGTTGACAAGGCGTTTCCCCCGTCCCATACAGGTGACGGACCCCAGTGTGAGGTGAACCTACCAGGCGTGGCGTCCTGGGAGACTCGGAGGGAGTAGAGTGTGGCGGCAAACCCTGAGCCGTAGGAGAACAGGCCGATTCTCTGGCCTGCCAGGTGCTGAGGTGTGTGTCTGTCCAGGAAAAAACGTGTTACACACACACACACACACACACACACACGCAAACACTCCCTACGTGTGCCTCTCCATAATTATATAATTTCAGCAACACTTAATTACAGTGTCCTTATTGTTACAGTACTGAGTCATTATTTCTGTAAGTATTGTATAACAACTACTGTAATAACACAGTTATACTGTATTTACACTGTGCTTAGGCATAGGTCAGTAAGGACAATGTAACAAAGAGTAATTACAAACGTTGTTACACTGTCCTTTCAGGCATAATTACACAGTAATAATGACACTAATGTTATGTGCATTTCTTCTTTCTAATGACTAATTCAAGTAGTAATTCAAGTAGTCTTTCAAGTAGTACCTTTATGTACAATTAGTTTACTCTGATTCATAGGGAGACTTACTGTGCGATTACAGAAGCAAGGCAGCCGTAGACGGAGGGGGTGTACATGTTGCCGTTCTGGTTGGAGACGAGGAGGGAGGCCTTGGTCTTCTGGTCAAACATCTCCGTGCTGGCCTTCATGAAGGCCTTCTCCACATCCCTGTTGAAGTAGGTCTCCTCCGGCTTCACCTCCCTGCTCAGCACACAGAGAGAAGGATGGAGCCATTTAGAGTAATATATACAGTATATGTAGAGCTGTTTTCAACGCTATTCTGGGGACAAACTGGAACAATATCGCATTTGAGCTTTTTCTAATTTCTCATGCTCTCATCTTTGTTGTTGTAATTGTAACTTCCTTATTATGTAATTGGTATTTTTGCTGCATTTTTGTGAAGCAGGGCTCCCTGGGACTTCCCTATGGAAATAAAGGTTCAATCATTTTGTATATAAGTATTCCAACCAGGAGTTAGGGTAATCTTGGTTGGATTATGATTGGAGGATCAAAGTTACTTGAATAAATGTGCCATTGTAGATGTGTGTGAGAATATATCTATCGTAATTTCTGACCAATCAAAAGTAGCGCACTACATTGATAATACGTTGCCTGAAGGTTCTAACCTGAAAGCCTCCAGGCCACTGAATGGTCCAGTCTCTGTGTTGGGGCTGGGGTGGCTGAGGAAGTCGTTGAGCACCAGACGGGCTAAGGACTTCTGCACCAGCTTGCAGTAGGGAGAGTGGAACACCATGTAGCCAAAGTCCTCCAGGCTGAAACGCTTGTCCACACCCTCTGTGAAGAACACAGGACATGTTTCAGCCACACTGACAGGTGTCGCAGGAAGGCCAAGACAATCATCAAGGACCTCAGCCACCCGAGCCACGGCCTGTTCTCCCCACTTCAATCACTCTGACACGGGCAGTATAGGTGCATCATGGGAAAAACTGTCAGACTGGCCAATAGCTTCTACCCCCAGACCATCAGGCTGCTGAATCACCACCACTAGGCAGCTACCTGCTCTCCCTGTCCCCCTCCTGACCCCCGCGACCCTGTGCATGTAACTAATAAAACTCATCTAATATAAAAACAAAATACACAGTTTTACTCAGATGGTCAATGATAAAACCGGGGTCAAACACTACAGTACCAAATACTTTCAAATACCTGAGCTGCCTCAATTTCAGTTGCCAGGAACAACATAAGCTAACTCAAGCACACCTGAAATACACATATTTGAAGTATTTGAAAGTATTTGGCTAAATGTATTTGACCCAGGTCTGCTAGAAAGGCCGTACAAGAATTCAATCAAGATCATGGTTGGGTAAGTTCCACATTGATATTGATAGTGGGAAAATACAGGCTTTTGTTAAAATGGTCTCTGATACTACAGAGAGGTGGGTGACACAAGGACAAAGTATTCAGGATCACTGTCCAATCTGGTACCTAACCTAACTACTCTCTGTGATGACATTGGCAACAGGCTACTATCACTAAACCAATTTCAGGCCCCGGTGGAAATGAACCTTAGTAAACCTTAGTTAACTTCTTAGACTATAAAGGGATCTATGGGCCTGGCTTAAGCCCACTTGACCTACTTAGGATTCAGCCTAAAGTGTTTTGAATTAACCTGAGTGTTTGAATTGACCAAGGCCTGTTGAATAGGTATGGTGGATGCATTGAAGTGAACAATTATTTTTTTAATCAATGATCAAACAAGCAAAGTGCATCTTATAAAATGTACAAATGATAATTTCTCTCACCTCTTTGCCACTGTGCGTGGATCTTGTTGCGATAGACAGAGTAACAGCGATCCAACGCGCTGAGGTAGCACTCGATAGACAGCTTTCCGTCCACCACAGGATACTCTGACGCCATATCTGGCTTGTAGAAGTCGTAGGCGTGCTGCATGTGTGTACCCCTCAGACCTGCAAGGTCAACCATGATGCACCATTTTACACCCATTGTACACCAGGGTTGGGGTCAATTCCATTTTAATTCCAGTCAAATTCAGAAAGTAAACCAAATTCCAATTCCACATTTTCCTCATTGAAATGCATTGAAGAGAATTGGAATTGGAATTTCAGTTTACTTCCTGAATTGACTGGAATTGAAATGGAATTGACCCCAACCCTGTTGTACAGCATCAAATATATTCAGACAGACAGTGGATGAATGGCTGGCTATCCATGAGACGGAAACATACTGGCGGTGTCTTTGACACATGGCTTGTTGAAATGTAAACAAAGCTGTGTATTCGTCAGTAAGATGAGCAGTGAGTGATATTGTGTGTGTGTGTGTGTGTGTGTGTGTGTGTGTGTGTGTACACGCTTGTGTGTCAACTGTTGAACTGACATTGACCTGAACGACATTAACAAACAACAACAGAGGAACTGTGTCTATAATAAACAGGCTGGGGGAGTCATGATTCAGTCAGCGTGTCAACATCAACTATTTCCACACAGTAGGATATTGACCTACCTCTGTCAAAAGCCAGTGGGGCGTTGGGCCCTACCAACATGGCTATCGCACCGGCGCCCCCTGTTGGCCGGGCACTTCCTGTGGCATAAACTGCAATGTCTCCTGCCACCACCAGGGCATAACGACCTACAGGACAGAAAGAGATGTCAGTAAGTAACACAAATACAGAATATTATTTATGAATAACAGAGGATTTCTTCTCTCATTATGGACTGATACATTTGATTTAAGGTTATTCTATTGTCAGCATACTAAGTCTAAGGTAGGTCCATTTAGAGGCAGTGTGTCAGACTTACGCCTTGTGTGTTCTTCAGTCCAAAATTTGACTAAAATAGACAGTCACACACAGTCAAACACACCACACTTGGGAGGGTCAACAAAACATTGACACGATGTCAACACAACGTTAAAACAACGCCTCTCACCGTCCCAGGAGCTGGACTCCACCCAGTTGACGGCGTTGAAGAGGGCGGCGGTGCCCCCATAGCAAGCGTTGGTCGTGTCAATCCCCTCCACGTCCGCGTTGCCCGACTCCTCGAAAAGCTGCATCACAACCGTCTTCACCGACTTGGACTTGTCGATGATGGTCTCCGTGCCCACCTCCAGACGGCCCACCTGGTCGTAGGAGAGGCCATTCCTTTGCATCAGCCGCTGGACCACCGTCAGGCAGAGGGAGTTGATGTCCTCGCGGTCCGAGCAGAAGCCCATTCGCGCCTGGCCCAGGCCCACCGTGTATTTACCAGCGGACACGCCGTCAAACTGCTCCAGCTCGGCCTGGTCCACGTACTGTGAGGGGAAGTAGATCTCCAGGGCGATGACACCCACATCTTTGGGCCACGTGGCCTCGCCGTTGGCTGGGGCTGATCCAGGCATTCTGTATGAGCTGGTTGGGAGAGAGAGAGAGGACAAGGTTGGAGAGAGGTTTTGGAGAGATGTCAATATGGGGAGATTTTTATTCAAGGTGGAATGTGAGGTCAATAGGTTGATATGGGCTGAGAATTAAGTGCAACAGAGTAGTTCACGTCGTTATCCAGACCAGGGTGTGAACAAGGGACCTTCTGCACAAAGACATTTAGTGTTCTAACCAATTGCTCCAACAAAACCGATCAGATTTTCATTCTGAAGCTGGTATCCAAAGGTATTTGCTATTGGTTGCATAATATTTCAAACATACATACTTTTGGTGAATGTAAATCAACTGGGAAAATGACAGCTTGCATAACACCTGTTCTGAGTGTTCTCCCAGTGTGTTGAAGCTTTCTAGCTAATATTGGCTTCCTTGCTAAATGAAAACACAAGCCCATTGGCAACACACGCACGGCCTGCTCATCTCTAATTAGATGAAATGTTAAGTAGGGACAGGGTAAAGGGCATGGGAGGCTGGTAAGTGGTAGTACTTTGATAAGCGGGAACGATGTTGGACGGAATGGATATGCTAGCTAGCTACAAGGAGAGACGGAGAAAGGGTTAGGAGGAATATGGAAGGGGGATGGACCAACTTGAATCTGGCCCAGTGGTGGCAGGTCGTGTAATGGCGGAAGCTCCATGCAATGTTTGATTCTGTTGGCGTGAGTGAAGTCGGTAAGAATGACTGGACGACGGTAATAAACAAGAATGGAGCTAAAAAAAAAGCACAAGTTGGAAATGAACAGCAGCTTCTGGTTGGAGTACGTTTCATGAATAAGGATGCTCATTTGGGAGACCCGTTTGCGGTTACTAAGATGGTGACTGACGAATTGGGAAAGGTGGAGTCGTTCAGAGTGACCAGGAGTGGTATCACGGTGATTACATGTGTATCGAAAGAGCGAAAGGAGAAAGCTCTGTGGCTCTATAAACTTTCAATGTACAAAGTGGAGAATGATAATTTTCAGAGTAAGGCGCCGAATAAAGGTGTCATCTCTGGCGTCTCGCTGGATATCGAGGCTTCATGGTTTAGGGACAACATGCCGAGAATAGTTGGGGCATGTCAATTAACCCGTACTGTGAGCATATGTACAAAAACTACTACAATGTTATAAATGTAAAAACTTTGGCCACCGGTCAAGTATTTGCAGACGGAATATCAGTGTTGAAGAGTCTGAGGATGCAGAATGCTGCAATTGTGATGGGAATCACGTTCCAGAGTTCACTGAGTGCCCTGTTAGGGTGAAGGAGGTCAAAGTAGCGAGGATCAAGGCTGTCGAGCAGGTCTCCTATGCGGAGGCTGTCAAAATTGTTGAGAGAGTAGAGATTATGAAGCTATGGCAGTGGATAACCAGCAGCCTGTTGATGTCGTTCATCAGATAAAATATTCTGAAATACGAATGGTGAAGGTGGATTTTGTTGCGTTCATTGCGCAGGTGATTAATTGTACAGGACAAACTAATTTTCCAACAAAATCAAAGAGACTAGATATCATTGTGAAAGTGGCAAACATATTATTGGAACTTCAGTACTTCACAGCAGAAACATTGCAGGGAATACTGTCGGAAGATCAGTGGTGTAAAGTACTTAAGTAGAAATACTTTAAAGTACTACTTAAGTCATTTTTTTCGGTATCTGTACTTTACTACTTATATTTTTTACAACTTTTACTTTTACTCTACTACATTCCTAAAGAAAATAATGTACTTTTTACTCCATACATTTTCCCTGACACCCAAAAGTACTCGTTACATTTTGAATGTTTAGCAGGACATGAAAATGGTCCCATTCACTCACTTATCAAGAGAACATCCCTGGTCATCCCCACTTCATCTGATCTGGTGGACTCACTAAACACAAACGCTTCATTTGTAAATTATGTCTGAGTGTTGGAGTGGCTATCCGTAAATTAAAAAAAATATATAATAATCTTGCCATCTGGTTTGCTTAATATAAGGAATATAAAAGGATTTATACTTTTACTTTTGATACTTAAGTATATTTTAGCTATTACATTTACTTTTGATACTTAAGTATATTTAAAACCAAATACTTTTAGAATTTTGCTCAAGTAGTATTTTACTGGGTGAATTTCACTTTTACTTGAGTCATTTTCTATTAAGGTATCTTTACTTTTACTCAAGTATGACAATTGGGTACTTTTTCCACCACTGCGGAAGATACTCCCCTCTCTCAGGCTCTAGAGCCTGTGTAGGGATCTGAGTAGACATTTTAAAACTGACTGTAGGATTACATTGGTTTGTAGGGGAAGTCTGAAAAACATACCAGCCTTCTTCTTCCTAGAATTTTTATTGGTGGACTACATCCAAAAAGGTGTATTGACGCCACCTACTGGGTGGGGTGAAAACTGAGAAACTTTAACGCAGGAAAAAAGGGAATGGGGAAGTGTTGATCATCAGGGAAGCAAACAATGTGATCAACAGAGAAATGTCTTGCAGTAGTGAGTAATTGCGCAAGCATGCTTTACGCGTTACTATTTCCTCTATCGTCGCCTTTTTTCATGATTTTTTCTACACTAGCTAGCTAACGTCAGCTGGCTAATAAAAATCCAAGAAAGAGAGTTGGATTCGAAGCTAGGTAGCCACCTCTGCAAGCCCATGGTTGGTCTGCCATCGAGTGTAACTTAGCAACTTGTGTCAGAAGACAATATAGTGAAAAGGATAGCCATAACAAGGCTAACTACAGCTACAGTCTCTACAAGCCATGTCATCCAATTCTAGTTGATGACAGCTAGCTAGCTACTTAGGAAATTCGATGACTAGCTATGGAAAAAATCTGTCCGTTCACATAATCAGTCATCGAGAACATTCACAAAACTATCGACGATAGGTATCATCTTACCTTACAATCATAGGGTAATGACAAGATGACAGTTTGCTGTCCTTAGAGGCTAGCTAACCAGATCATAAGGTCAGAACTCGATGTGACCACAGTCGGACGAAAGAGCCGACGGACCAGCTTCCGCTTCGAATTCTCTGAACAACCGTTCGGCGTAGAATGTTGCAATGTAGCGCGCTAGTTCCTCTTGTGTACCACGTTTGTTACTTTGTAATAACAGTGGTACTTTGTAACAGGGCAAACCCTGGCAGCACGATATGCATCCCAGATTAGATTTAGGATCTATTCTACTAATACCATCAAATCAATTTAATTCAGCACCCACAACAATCTAACTAGTACATTAGCTCAGCTGGTAGAGCACGGCGCTTGAAACGCCAAGGTAGTGGGTTCGATCCCCGGGACCACCCATACACAAAAATGTATGCACGCATGACTGTAAGTCGCTTTGGATAAAAGCGTCTGCTAAATGGCATATTATATTATTATTATTATCTCACTTGGAGCAAAGTTGATACGCACCTAAATTAATAGTCGTTTAGGCTACTAATTTGGAGCAAAGTTTCCTATCCTATATCAATTTAGATTACTTTATCAACTTTGATAGCAAAGTAAATAACAGAATACTGATGATTTATCCATCACAGACAGAACACTCTCAGTTGACAATCTTGTCCCATGTGTACAGAAGCCTAACTTTTATCGTCATTTTGCCTAGTTTAAAATAAGATATTCCATAAAACCAAAGATTGGTGTAGCCTATTCAATTGGTATAATTACTTTTATAGTAGGCTATACTGCTATAGCCTAGTATACCTTCGTGAGGATTGGAGAAAGGCAATCCCGTAATCAAAACCGTGTACTCACCTTGAAAAAGTAAGTGGTCTATCACTTAAATTATATAACCAGGCAAACTTTAGTCCCTTCACACTTTCTTGGTAGTAACTACTGACTTTAACATGCAAAACATCAATCCATTTATATATGACGAGTGTCCTGTACCTGTGAACGACACCCCGTTTTCCAAGTGCCGAATACATGTCCAATCATAACTGAGATCCAAGGTTCTGAAGTTTCGGCATTGCCCACCCCTTTACGTTTCTGACCAATCCACGAGAGGTAAAGACAGACCACGCGCCGCAGCAGTCGAAGCGGTTCAATGGGGTGAGTGAATGACGGTGTATGGTGAGAGAGTACGGACCAATCAGGGAGCACGTCTGACTGCTGGCGAGGTAGTCAGAGACCTCCAAGCTCGAATCCGCGAGGAAGCTGAAGTGTCTCCTTGACGACCAGGGGCTGGGTATTCACATGCATGGTATGGGTAGATCTCTTCATCTTGCCATTGATCATGAACTTTCCTATTTTTTCTTTCTTGGTGAAAAGGAATACTTATATAACCGATTCTTTTGAAACAATGAAATAAAAATATATGTGCTTGGTGGCTAGGCTACTGAGATTTTTCCTACAAGAAACACAACAGTCAGAATATAATATAATAATTATATTCTATTCAATATGTTGGAAGAATAGTCCAACTTTATTTTTCCTAAAGGGGACTTCAGCCTATCTGGGAGATTTTGTTGGTAAAAATTGCTTCCGAATTCGGTCAAAACTGCGTCCTTATTTAGGCCTAGGCCAAAGGGCAGTATATATTTATAGGTCCTATTTGTAGGTCCTATCTCGCCCAGTAAGTGTTAAATGTCCTGACCCGACAAACAACTTTGTTTCCCATGTAAGTGTACTCAAGCAACCGGTGCATAAAATATGTAATAGCTTGAAGTGTTTCTTGTATGTTGGGACAGTGTTCTGACTGCATGGTGCATTTTAAGATTACAGTTTAGGATGCATGTCTTTGAAAACGATTCTATAGTATGGCTTGCTTGCTGTATGGTTGTATGGTTACTGTATGGTTGCTGTGTGGTTGCCATTGCTATCACAATGGGAAATAGTAACATACTGTAACACTGTAAGTGAACCCAGTGTACTTGATCATCATTTTCTCTGAAACCAAACCGGTGACATTTTACCAAGTGGTGTCACTCATATGCTTTACTGCAATGAGAGAGCTAGGTTTTTGTAGATAAAGAAAAGCTCTGATTGTATGCTTTAGTAGCCTATTAATCGTGCTAAAACTAAAACCAATCAAGCTTGATGCATTTCAGTAAATGTTGGTTGCACATAACAATAAGTGTTAGGTTTTTAGATGGTAGTGAGTTACATTGTAGTTACATCTTCGTTTTTATGTCTGATTGGATCTTTTCGTACTTTTTCAAGGACGCATTTTGTCATCTTTAATGTTTACATGTTTAGAAATGTATCAAAGAATAGCCAACGAGTAACGACACTCCCTTTAATGTTCATATTGTTTAAGTATCTATATGTAACAGGGTTAGAAAATGTCCCTGTTGAGTGACTTTCACACAAAATTAATTGTTTTTCATCTTGTTCATGTGTTAAGAGTGACCTCTATTGGTATAATGTGATACTGCAGTTCTGTGGTTACATCCTGGTCTTTGCAATCTCCAGGGCCCAGTTTTTCAAAAGGTACCTGCTAGGTCAGGGTTCTTCAATTCCGGTCCTGGAGGGCCGAAACACTTCTGTTTTTTATTTCTACCTGGTAGTTAATTGCACTCACCTGGTGTCCCAGGTCTGAATTAGCCCCTGATTAGAAGGAGAGGATGAAAAACAGAGGTGTTTTGGCCCTCCAGGACCGGAATTGAAGAACCCTGTGCTAGGATTTCCCCAATATGATAGGATTTAATGTTAGAATTGGGGTTTTCAAAACTAAAAAATGTGATTATGATTCTCCGGATTGGGATAAGGATTTGGTCATCCAATCTCACCTTTAAATCAGGATTAAATCTTGTTTTTGCTTCTTTCTTTTTTTACTCAAAAAGGTAGTTATTAGGATAGTTTTGTTCCCAAAAATCTGGATTATCTTGATCCCACCGGAAGGGTGGATTCAGGGTGGCACTACAACCAAGAAATGTCTATGTAACTAAGGTGAGCATCTGAAAACCAAAGGTTCATTACATTAAATTGACCGCAGTATAGGTATGTGGTAAATTGTTATTGAGAAGTGTCAAATAAATGCATCTACTTACTTATAAGTGATATGCAGGCTCTATTATTTTTTTATCAAGGTATCTTTATTAATGTACAGTAGTTTACTCTGTTTCTCTATGACAGTGTAGAATTAGTACCACAGCCTGTCCAGTAGATGGCGAGGTGTAGGCCTGTTCAAAGCACTGAACATCCGGATTCTGTGATCTTGATTTTGTGGTATCTGGATCAGAATAATCCTAACCTATTATTTTCTTTAAACCGTCTCAAACACAGACAGATTGATCTGATCCTGGATAGCAAAGAAGAGGATTACAGAATCCTCTGTAGCTCAATTGGTAGAGCACGGCGCTTGTAATGCCAGGGTAGTGGGTTCGATCCCCGGGACCACCCATACGTAAAAATGTATGCACACATGACTGTAAATCGCTTTGGATAAAAGCGTCTGCTAAATGGCATAGTATATTATACAAAGTTTTGAAAAACGAAATGTTGTTACACAACTCTCCCAGTTATATAGAGACCTATCCAAATAATAATATGCCATTTAGCAGACGCTTTTATCCAAAGCGACTTACAGTCGTGCGTGCATACATTTTTGTGTATGGGTGGTCCCGGGGATCGAACCCACTACCTTGGCGTTACAAGCGCCGTGCTCTACCAGCTGAGCTACAGAGGACATGATCCTAGATCAGCACACATCTAACTTCCCCTGCCCTGTTGCATTTTAAAAAAGCAAGAAATATCTTCATTACACACATAAGTCATTAAATTGTTTTTGTTCTGAGTGCAAATCGGGCCTTTGTATGAAACAGAGGGGGTTCAGTGAACCATGCTTGTGTTGATGAGTAACCTTGCCTGAGACCTGAAGACATGCCTTAGCTCCCTGCAGCTAAGTCTTATTCAATGGATTTAAAAACCATGCTGTTCTAATCATCCTTCTCTCTCTCTCTCTCTCTCTCTCTCTCTCTCATCTCTCTCTCTCTATCTCTCTCTCTCTCTCTCTCTCTCTCTCTCTCTCTCTCTCTCTCTCTCTCTCTCTCTCTCTCTCTCTCTCTCTCTCTCTCTCTCTCGCAGAGTGGCAGCAGATTAATGTGTTCTCTCATTCTGGATCACCACCTGGGCTCCTCGGTCATCAACTATGACGACGAAAACGGCAAGACCTGCGTTCACATCGCCGCTGCCGCCGGATACAGCGACATCCTCTATGAGTTGGCGCGCTTTGCTGAGACCAACCTGCAGGCCCTGGATGTGGACGAACGGTAACAGAAATGGCAGCACATTGTTTTCTTTGAAATTGCATGCCACCAGTCTATGTTTGTCAAACAAAAACCATTGATTGCAAAGTTAAACAAACCATAAATCTCCATGCACAAGGACCAATTTTAACAATTTCCACTGAACATTTTACAAAAACAAATTTACTTGAAGAACAGTGCAGATGCAAAGTTTGGTAACAGAATGACAGTTTGTGCTGTTTGTGCCGTCATTCAGTTACCAAATTTATAAAAGTAGTCATTGTGCATAGAAAATGTTTGACAAAGTCTCAGCATCATTCTGTTACCGTGGAATTGACCAATACTGGTTGGTAAATGCATTGATTTATCATGAATAACTGCACTATTCATGTAGGTTGATCCGGTGGAAAGAATAAGATCTGTTCATCCTCCAGGACCCCTCTTCATTGGGCGGCAGCAGCGGGGAAGGAGGACTGTGTCCAGGCCTTACTGCAGCTAGGGGTGGAGACAGGGCCCAGGGATATCAATGAGAACACACCGCTTACATATGCAATGTACTGTGGCCACACTGCCTGCATCAAGCTCCTCTCAGCTGACAACAGGTTGAATAACGCTGCATTCCGTGTGTGTGTGTGTGTGTGTGTGTGCATATACACTACCAGTCAAAAGTTTGGACACACCTACTCATTCAAGGGTTTTTCTTTATTTTTACTATTTTCTACATTGTACAATAATAGTGAATACATCAAAACTATGAAATAACACATATGGAAACAGGTAGTAACCAAAAAAGTGTTAAACAAATCCAAATATATTTTATATTTGAGATTCTTCAAATAGCCACCCTTTGCCTTGATGACAGCTTTGAACACTCTTGGAATTCTCTCAACCAGCTTCACCTGGAATGCTTTTCCAACAGTCTTGAAAGAGTTCCTTCATATGCTGAGCACTTGTTGGCTGCTTTTCCTTCACTCTGCTATCCGACTCATCCCAAACCATCTCAATCGGGGGATTGTTGGAGGCCAGGTCATCTGATGCAGCACTCCATCACTCTCCTTCTTGGTCAAATAGCCCTTACACAGCCTGGAGGTGTGTTGGGTCATTGTCCTGTTGAAAAATAAATGATAGTCCCACTAAGCCCAAATCAGATGGGATGGCGTATCGCTGCAGAATGCTGTGGTAGCCATGCTGGTTAAGTGTGCCTTGAATTCTAAATAAATCACAGACAGTGTCACCTGCAAAGCACCCCCACACCATAACACCTCCTCCTCCATGCTTTACGGTGGGAATTACACATGCAGAGATCATCCGTTCACCCACACCGCGTCTCAAAAGACACAGCGGTTTGAACCAAAAATCTCTCATTTGGACTACAGACCAAAGGACAAATTTCCACCGGTCGAATGTCCATTGCTCATGTTTCTTGGCCCAAGCAGGTCTCTTCTTCTTATTGGTGTCCTTTAGTAGTAGTTTCTTTGCAGCAATTCAACGATGAAGGCCTGATTCACACAGTCCCCTCTGAACAGTTGATGTTGAGATGTGTCTGTTACTTGAACTCTGTGAAGCATTTATTTGGGCTGGAATTTCTGAGGCTGGTAACTCTAATGAACTTATCCTCTGCAGCAGAGGTAACTCTGGGTCTTTCCGTTCCTGTGGCAGCCCTCAAGAGAGCCAGTTTCATCACTTGATGGTTTTTTGCGACTGCACTTGAAGAAACTTGCAAAGTTCTTGAAATGTTCCGTATTGACTGATCTTCATGTCTTAAAGTAATGATGGACTGTCGTTTTCTCTTTGCTTATTTGAGCTGTCTTGCCATAATATGGACTTGGTCTTTTACCAAATAGGGCTATCTTCTGTATACCCCCTGTGGTGTCCAAAACAAACCTTTGCTGATAATGCCGTGATGATAAGAAGTCCGCAGACACTGTACTTTGTTTATAAAGGTTTATTATAACAAAGAGTTTCAGCGTCAGATTTACAGATACCTGCAGATATCTGAAGAACAGCAGGAGCCAATTCTGTAATTCGCTATTCTTCCTTTCCCTCTGTTCAAGACATGGTATTTATATCATATATGACATAGTATGGCGTGATTTTAATACCCAATCCCTGGCCTTTCCTACATATCTTCCCATATCCTTTTTTCCAGGAACTTAGTGATGATTTCCAGATGTTTCAGCAAGCAGAGCCAAGTTTCCTCTATTCCAAGAAACCTCTGTAGCAATGCTTTTCCAAATGCTTTAGCAAAGTAGAGTAAAGTTCATCTATTACACCATTTGCAAACATCAGCAAAATCCTAGAGCCAAGTTTCCTCTTACACACTTTTTGCAAAGGTCAGCACAATCACAGACTCTAAGACACTACATATTTCCCCCCTTCGAGACTAATTAAGTCTCGAAAACAAAAAGAATAGGATTATGACAAATAACAATTTTTGTTCTTGAGTAACTTTAACAATAAACCAAAATTTATGGAGAGTAAACACATGTTTATATAGACACATTTTTGTATGTAGTGTAAATACATTGTTATGTAGTGTAAATACATTGTTATGTAGTGTAAATAAATTGTTATGTAGTGTAAATAAATTGTTATGGAGTGTAAGAGCGAAAAACCTGTCTGGCAGCTTTCATTCCAAATATCCATCAGTCAGTCAAGACAGGAAAATTCTCTCATGGCCCCTCTGCCCTAGGCGACCACCTAAGTACTCCAGATCAATTTATACATCTTTATCAATACATTTTAAGCTATGATGCAATTGAATACATATGAAAAACCCCAGCAAACAAAATACAATCAAAATGTCCACATTCAGGCTGGTCGACCCATCGGACCCTCCTGTGGATTCTCTCTGTCCTTGCCTAGACCCCATATTCCTAAACTTCAACGAAATAAACAAAAACATCTGAGGTCCCCACATGTACCCAACAACAGAAAACATAATTCTTCAAAAATTAATACAGAAAGAATATAACACTGGAATGTAGTCCACTACACTTCATCTCCTCCACAGTGTCGACTTTCAATGCGACGTCGATGATGGAATCTGAACATTTCCACACCTTCCTTGTTCCACTTTCTCCAGTCCATTCATATTGTCCATGTTTGAGTATTTGAGTCCCACTACATATTCCCCCATATGCTTCTGGAAGAAAAGAAAAGACCAAACAGTATCTTTTGCAAAACAACACTTGCAAATTAAAACATCAATATCAGCAATAATATAAGAATGTATATATAAAATGAATCACATTCCATTTCCCCCCTTTGATTCATAACAAAACACTAAATATCACAATAATATAATTATCCCACAATCAGATATTCCAAATTTCCTAGAGTTATTTAAACCCTAGTTTTCATAGCATTTTAGTCTGACTTTTTCAAAAAAAAAAATTCTTTCTCTAATTTTTTCAAAAAACATTTCACTGATTTATTCACAAAACTCTTTCCCATTTTCTGAGTATATTAAATCAGGAAATTCCCACCTGCTTATGACTTCTTTACACAAGAACTTTGCAACCGACTGAGCATATTTTAGCTTAGTTGAACATCTTATGTACCTCTTGGTATATGAAAGTAACCAAGAATAACAGTCACACATTATTTTTCAGACAGATTATGCACCTGCCTATGACATAGTCAATCTATTCAAGAAAATATGATTCCCAAAAACCATACTCCTTTGTGATCTTTATCCTAATCTCCCCTTTACAACATTAGCTAACCCATGTGCTTCCTGAATCATCAGACCTAATAGGTCTGGAGGCGCTACTATCAACCCCTCATGGTTTCTCCAAAGACCAGTAGCATCTTTGACGGCACCTCGGTCAAACCATAATTGTTTGTCGATCGTAGAAGCAGCTTCCTGCATCAAAATCACATCCTTAAGCGTAATTTTGTCTTCCAAGTCCCACTGCATGAGTGACCAGAAAACTTTGCCCAATTTGTCCGCTCCTGTGACGGCTTTTTGCAGCTTCATCAGCAGCTTTGTTCCCTTGTGTTACTTTTGACACATCTGTCTTATGAGCTGCACACTTAGCTATCGCTATCTCTGTAGGCTTCATCATAGCGTGTAACAGTTTCATTATTTGCGCATGATGTTGTATCGGAGAACCATCCGTTTTCTTAAACCCTCGACCTTTCCACACTGCTCCGAACAGATGACATACACTATGTGCATATGCTGAATCAGTGTATATCGTCACTCGCTTTCCTTCCGCTAACAAACATGCTTCTGTTAGCCCCACAAGTTCAGCAAGTTGTGCAGACGCAGGCTGTGGTATTACTTCAGCCTTTTCGACGACAAATCCAGTTCCTTGGGCTTTGACTACTGCATAGCCAGCGCACAATTTGTCTCCCACACGATAACAAGACCCATCAGTCCAATACTCCAGGTCTGCTTCACGTAATGGAAAGGCTTGCAAATCTGATCGAAGCCTTGAGTATTTCTCTGCTTCCTGGACACAATCATGTGGCTCACCATCCTCTGAAGTTGGCAAATTCTCGGCTGGATTCACCGTATCACACCTCACTAGGGTGACATCTTCCTGCTCTAAGAGCCTGTGATAGTCTCTGAGCCTAGGCATAGTCAATGTATATTTCCCAAAGTTCAGAAGATTTCTGAGACTATGATGGGTAAGAATTGTTACTGGGTAACCCATTGTAACAGATGATGCTTTGTTATACATTGAATATACTCCCACCATTGCTCTGTAGCACAGTGGTAGTCCTAGTTCTACTTCTGAATAGGCAGTAGAGTAGTAGGAAATAGGCTGAGGATTCATCCCTGTGCCTGTCGGCTGACAAAGAACTGCACATGCATATTTACCTCCAGTAGAAGTAGACACATATAGCAAAAAATTCTTAGAGTAGTCTGGTAATGTGAGTGCAGGTGCCTCCTGCAACCTCTGTTTGATCGTTTCAAATGCCACAAGGCCTTCCTGTGTCCAGGAAAGATTGCTATGGAGTTGACCATTTCCAGTATCCTTAACCATAGCTCTCAAAGGTCCTGTCAAACTAGCATAGCTCTCAACCCAAGCTGAAGAATATCCAGCAATACCAAGAAATGTCATCATCTCTCTGACAGTTCTAGGCTTCGGAGCCTTACGAATAGCTTCCAATTGACTATCCGAAATGCTTCTGTTTCCGTGCGTTATTTTCTGACCCAAATAAACAACCTTCTCCTGGCAATATTGCAACTTTTTCTGTGAAACCTTATGTCCATTTTCTGCCAATACCTGTAGCAATTTAATTGAGTCTCTATGACATGTTTCCTTATCCTGTGAGCAGATAATTATATCATCTACATACTGAATGACAGTGCTTTGCAATATCTGATCTATCCCTACCAAATCTTCCTTCAATACTTTATTGAAAATGTGAGGGCTGTGCCGAAAACCCTGTGGCAAACGATTGTACTCATAGAACTGTCCCTTATATGTGAACCCAAATAAACCCTGACTCTCTACACTAAGTGGAACACTAAAAAATGCACCACATAAGTCTAACACCGTAAAATGTGTCGCATCAGGAGGAATTTGGGCTAACAAAGTATGCGGGTGTCACGATCGTCTAAAACAGGAGACCAAGGCGCAGCGCGTTGAGTGAACATGATGACTTTAATTAGTAACGCACGTCAATACAAAACAAAAGACGACAGTGAAGTCCAAATAGTGACTCTGACTAAACAGGAACAAAAACCCCACAGGAAAACATACAGAAATAAATATGGCTCCCAATCAGAGATAACGAGCCGACAGCTGACACTCGTTACCTCCGATTGGGAGTCATTGACCAAACCTAGAAATACAACACTTAGAAACACCCAACCAAACATAACAAAATACACCCTGCTCAAATACAAAAGTCCCGGAGCCAGAGTGTCACAGTACCCCCCCCTAAAGGTGCGAACTCCGGGCGCACCTGCATACAGTCTAGGGGAGGGTCTGGGTGGGCGTCTGTCCACGGTGGCGGTTCTGGCCCTGGTCGTGGTCCCCACCCCACCTTAGTCACCACCCGCTTCCCTAGCCTCCTCCACATGACCCCCACCGGTTTAAGGGGCAGCACCGGACTAAGAGGCAGCACCGGACTAAGGGGCAGCACCGGACTAAGGGGCAGCACCGGACTAAGGGGCAGCACCAGACTAAGGGGCAGCACCGGACTAAGGGGGCAGTACCGGACTAAGGGGCAGCACCAGGATAAGGGGCCAGCACCTGACTCAATGGCGGATCCTGGCTGGCTGGCTCTGGCGGATCCTGGCTGGACGGCTCTGGCGGATCCTGGCTGAACGGCTCATGGCTGGCTGACGGATCTGGCTGCTCATGGCTGGCCGACGGATCTGGGCTGCTCATGGCTGGCCGACGGATCTGGCTGCTCATGGCTGGCCGACGGATCCGGCTGCTCATGGCTGGCTGACGGATCTGGCTGCTCATGGCTGGCTGACGGATCTGGCTGCTCATGGCTGGCCGACGGATCTGGCTGCTCATGGCTGGCCGACGGATCTGGCTGCTCATGGCTGGCCGACGGATCTGGCTGCTCAGGCTGGCTGACGAATCTGGCTGCTCATGGCAGGCTGACGGATCTGGCTGATCCTGTCTGGCCGAAGGCTCTGGCTGATCCTGTCTGGCGGAAGGCTCTGGCTGATCCGGTCTGGCGGAAGGCTCTGGCTGATCCTGTCTGGCGGAAGGCTCTGGCTGATCCTGTCTGGCGGAAGGCTCTGGCTGATCCTGTCTGGCGGAAGGCTCTGGCTGATCCTGTCTGGCGGAAGGCTCTGGCTGATCCGGTCTGGCGGAAGGCTTTAGCGGCTCCGGTCTGGCGGACGGCTCTGAAGGCTCATGGCAGCGGGGGGCTTATGCAGGCTTGGGGAGACGGACAGTCAGACGGGGTTGGCAGACAGGGCAGTTTTAGGCCCTTTGGGGGAGACGGGAGTTAACGCCGTTGGGGAGCGGGCAGTTAGGGCCGTTGGGGGGAAAGGGGAGTTTTTAAGGGGCCCCCTGGGAGACGGGCAGTTCAGGCCGTTGGGCAGAGGGAGTTCAGGGCCGTTGGGGAGACGGGCTTTTCGGGCGCCTTTGGGGGCAGACGCAACTCTGGCCCGACGCGCACCGAAAACTTGGTGGGGGTTGGCGGGAACAGGCCGGACCGGGGCGGGCGCGCCACCGAACTTTGTGCGGGTGGCAGAAACCGGGCCCGGGTCGAGCCCCTAGATTGGGCGGGTGGGGGGAACGGGCCCGGCCCGGGGCGGGCAGCGCACCGTAGATTGGGGTGGGGGGAAAGGGGCCGGGCTGGCGACGCCACCCCGTAGATTGGTGCGGGTGGCGGAAAACGGGGCCGCCGGGCGGGCGACGCACACCGTAGACTTGGTGCGGGTGGCAGGAACAGCCGGACCGGGCTGTGGAGACGGATAGGAGGCCTGGAGCGAACAGCGGACACCACCCGTCCTGGCTGAATGCCTACCCTCACACACTCTGTGTGAGGCATCCGCACAGGACATACAGGGCGGTGTACCCCTGGCCTGGTGGCCTCCTGGATACTCCCCCTTTTCTCCTCGTCAGCCCCGTCGTCCATGCCGTGTGCCCCCCCCTAAAAATTTTCTGGGGTTGACTCACGACCCCTCCGACGATGGCCCTGCTGCCGCCGTTGCTCCTCTCTCGCCAGGGCCTTGATCCTTCCCCAAGGTCCCTTGCCTCCGAGCATGTCCCTCCCAGGACACGATGTGCCCACCTGGGCCATCGCCAGCCTCTCTATCTCCTTGCCCGGTGCCTCCTCCCATGTCCAGTCTCCTTGCTCCTGGACACGCTGCTTGGTCTTTCTTTGGTGGGTTTTTCTGTCACGATCGTCTAAAACAGGAGACCAAGGCGCAGCGCGTTGAGTGAACATGATGACTTTAATTAGTAACGCACGTCAATACAAAACAAAAGACGACAGTGAAGTCCAAATAGTGACTCTGACTAAACAGGAACAAAAACCCCACAGGAAAACATACAGAAATAAATATGGCTCCCAATCAGAGATAACGAGCCGACAGCTGACACTCGTTACCTCCGATTGGGAGTCATTGACCAAACCTAGAAATACAACACTTAGAAACACCCAACCAAACATAACAAAATACACCCTGGCTCAAATACAAAAGTCCCGGAGCCAGAGTGTCACAGCGGGTCTGGCACTTCCGCTGGAAAGTCAGTTACTACCTCATTCACTGCTCTCAAATCATGAACCACACGATAAGTTTCATCTGGTTTTTTCACAGGTAACAAAGGTGTGTTACTCTGAGGATTTTTTGTTGTCCTTAAAACACCTGCTTTCGAAAGTCCTTCAATTTGTGGTTCGATCCCTTGGATTGCTTCATCTTTCAATGGATACTGATTCTTCCAAGGAGGTCTGGCTCCTGGTCGAAGTTCAACTTTCACCGGTTGGGCTGATTTCACAAGTCCAATATCGGTACTGTGTTGAGACCACAAAAATTCTGGAACTTGTTGCAACATCTCCTCTTTCATAGGGTCTGAATCCATCTTCACACTGCAAATAGATTCGTGTGTTATCCGTACAGCTTGTGGCTCTCCTTGTCCTTGAGCCGAAATCATGATTTTGAGAAATCGATGATCTTCAGTCCTCCAAATCGCCAAATTCTCTTTCATCGGTATGAAAACAGCTTTCTCTGCTTCTGTCATCATTTCTCCTATTTTCTTCTGCTCATAGCCTTCAGAAACCAACAAGGTCACATGTGGCACACTCTTCTCAATCTCAAATTCTTTATCCAGATAATCGTCTGTGTTTATCTTCATAGCTGCTCCTTGTGGTCCTAAAATTATGCAACGTGAGCTAAGTTGAACTTTCTTTGGTTGATGACTCAGCCATTCCTCTGAGTCCGATTGGGCAGCATTCTTGAAATACTTGAGCGTACAATGAAATGGATATTCCGGAAGCCTCGCATCTGGCATGTTTGTCACAATGAATTTCTCCCATATCTTAGCCTGCTTCAAAAAATCTTCACTGAGATTTCCAATCCAGAATACTGAAGAAGAATCCATCTCTGTCGTCATCGACAATTGGTAAACATTTTCCTTTGGCACCTCTACCAGACAGCCGTCTGGTGTACATTTTATTGTACAGTTCAATTTACACAATGCATCTCTTCCCAACAATGCAATAGGTGTATGTTCTGATACTAGTATGGGTATTGTAATTTTCTGATTTTCATAGCAGAGCTCAATTGGTTCCGTAAGAGGAATCAGCTGTTTCACTCCCTCAAATCCGATTGTCCTAATTAGTTGATTGGACATAGGGAGATGTGTAGCATCTTCAGGCCGAACACAGGTAAAAGCAGCTCCGCTATCCGCCATCACTTCCAATGGTCGTTTGTTTACTTTCACCTCAATTGTTGGATCTTTTTCCGGTCCTGATGCTACCAGCTGACACCCCCCTTTCGGATCTTCTGGGCACCTCTAGAATCCTTGCTCCGGGCCCCTATAAGGGTTCACCGGTCCTCCAGATGATCTTGACTGGCCCCTGTATCTTCCTCTGAAATTTCCTCTGGTGTTTCCTTCTGGCCCATTACACTCACGGGCAAAATGACCAACCTGTCCACAATTATAACACACTTCTGAAGATTGCTGGAAGTGTGGCTTAAATCTTCCTCCTCTTCCTCTTCCTAAACCTTCTCGTCCTCTTCCTCTCCAATTCTGTCTCTGTCCAGAAACTGGCTGTGGATATGAAACAACTGGTACCCGCTATTGGTGTCTGGTACAATTGTGGTTGGAACTGGTTCGGTTGAAGCTGTGGCAGTGATTGTTGATTTGGTTTACCCTGATTCTGCATAACCAGAGTTTGTTTCTTCTCCTTCTTATTCTCCACCAGTTGTATTTGATTGAGTTTTCTGAGAGTTTCTTGGTCCTGTTCTTTCTGGTTGTGTTCCTTTTTTCCGGTACAGATCCACTTGATGGGCTATATGATCTGTATAGACACCTTTTGTCATGCTCCCAAGTCCAACCACTTCTGCCAGTTTGCTCCTTACCGGTAAGGGCAGTCCCATCTGTAGTTTAGCTCTCAAGATTGACTGCTCAATTTGACTCACATCTGGATCATTTCCGGTGATATTTCTCCACACTTGATGAACTCTTGACACGTAGGCTCTCGGATTTTCTTGTTGTCCTAGTGGGTCAATCAGAATGTTGTCAGGATGCACATTTGTTGGAAACGTATCTCTCAGTGCTCTCCACAGCCGATTTCTACTTGCAGCCAACAATTCAGGGTCGTTCACTGCAGTCCCCACATATCTATGAAGTCCAGCTCTCTGAAAAATGTATTCCATGCCTGGAATCCCAAGGAGATTAGCCAAAAGTCTCTTAATGTCTCCTATGGCAGACTGTGTTCCCACCGTAATTTCTTCCAACTTTGAAATCCAAGGATATGCTCCATCTTGAAGAGTAGGCAGCTTCTCAAGTATATCTGACATATCGGTATTCTGCAAAGACTTATATTCTAGGTTTTGTCCTCGAATGATCACCGGCATAATTTTCTTACTAGTGCCCTCTTTCCTTGGCCTCAATGTATATTTCTTCTCAGATTCTTGGGATTCTTTTCTCAGCAGCTTCTTTTCCTTTGTCTTCAGCTTCTTGAGTTGTTCTTCCAGTTCTTTTACTTCTTCTAAATTATTGGCCTTATACAGGTATGATACGCATCGGTCTATATCTCTTTCTATTTCTTCTGTGCTAGTCATTGTAGGATGAAATCCTCTTGAATATGAAGCACCTTTAATCTCCAAATCTTCATCGTTGTCTCCATCTTCGTTTTCATCAGAACTCGAATCACTTGTATTCTTCTTCTTCCAACTTCCATCACCCCTTCTTTCCGCTCTGGCCAACCTCTGTCTGATGACAGGGTCATATCCACCCATGATCTCTTCTGAATCACTCTGATCATCATCATCGTCATCATCGTCATCATCAAGTTCCATCCTCCTTGACCTCACTCTACCCTTAGTCTCCAGACATCTCGTTTTCTTCCTGCTTTTGGAGTTTGGATTCATCTTTATGGTCGTTTCTGCTTGTCCTCTCTCTATTATTCGTTCATCTTCATCTCTGATGCAATAATCACCCTCCTGAATGATCACTGGAAGCTGAGAATAAACGTCCTTAAACTTGGCTTCTTTCTCATAAGGTGGGGGTGTTTTTGCTGAATCCATATGTAAGAAAGGTGTATTGACTTCTGCCATTAGTTTTTCTGTCACCTTCACCTCTTTTGCCATTTTCTCTGTACCTCTGTACCTCTGTCTCTCTTATCTTTTGTATCTTTTATCAGTTTTTGTCCTTCATTTTCAAACAGCTTAAGAACACCCAGCTCTCTTTGTCTTTTTTCTTTACGTAGTTGTCCTTTCTTCCCCTTCTTTTGATCTGCCTTATACGTGGATACAAGCACTTGCATTATCTTGATGACGTCTGGGTTAAGAGTCCCTTCCACTGGCCATGGTTGTTCAATGTCAGGCCAACGTTTATTCCATTTTTCAGATAATTTTGCTATACCATTAACTAGAGGATTACTATTCTGTACTACATCAAGAGGAGTAATTGCTTTTGTAGTTTTGATGTCCTTTTTCCCCATTATAATGACTCTGTTATGTGTTTCCCTCTTCTTTCTTTTTTTTTTTTTTTTTTATTAAAATAATTAATCAATCAATTAATCAACTAATTAATCCAATCAATCAATTAATTAAATCAATCAAACAATCAATCAATCAATCAATCAATCAATCAATCAATCCAATCAATCAATTAATTAATTAATACATCAATTTATCTTATGAATTTTATTTTACCAAATTATTGATTAGTGGCAGTCTTACCACATCCGATCAGGAAAAGTAAAGGAAAGTAGTCAACTTCAGAGCAATCCAAAAATAAAAGACCTGTAATCCTGCAACACTACAGCACTCACAAACCAATTACTTATTAATCACCCAATTACCTAAATTTTACCGAATAATGTCAATGCTGGATTTCCAACACAACTCTAATAAAAACAAATCATTCACAAAAACTGTCATGTGCAATTATCAATTACCTCAATTCATCAGTCTGTTGCCAAGTTCCTGCGAAATGGTCACAACATGAAATATTCTATGTATACACAATGTATCAATTATATCCTGTAAGGGAAAGTAGGTTTTGTGGATAAGAACAGTACTGGCCTTGATTGGACTGGGTTGTTGTCGCTGATGTCAGCTGGTCAGCACCTCCTCTCTCTCTCTCTCTCTGTCTCCTCCTTCTCGTCTCTCATATGACAGAAAGACAAAAGAACAAACAATATTTTTTTTTTTCTTTTTCACATTCACGCTAAGAAATAAGCAAACAGCTTAACTCAGGAATATTATAAATAGCTCAATAACATTTTATTTTATTTATTTATTTTATTATTATTATTTTTAATCCGTCAATATATCTCTCATTCACCAACTCAACCGATTATCAACCAAACAGTTTCACAGTCAAGCAACAGTTAATTCAACAAGCAGAACATTTAACTTGTGTGCAAGATTCCCCCTCCCTTTTTTATCTGCTCTGAGACTGCCTCTCCCAGCAGTTCAGTGCAAGGGAGTGGCACATCTGTTGTACGTAACTCTAAACTCATAAAATCCTACGCGTGCGCAGTTCAGTCACCAATGTGATTTCAGAGTGAAAGGAACTTCTCCTAAAAAGAGTAGACAGACCCGCTGTCGTTCCGTTCTCTCCTCCCATAGACAAACAATAAGACTTAACAGAACTCACAAACGAACACGGAACACATAGAACATACAACACAAATCCTACTTCCAAGTTTGTTATCTTCACTTATCCTAATCTGCAGATTTATAGTTATGTTGTTATCAATTACAAAACATCTCTATACACTCTTAAAAAAGTCCTCCCTGTAGGCTCATGATTAGTTAGTAAACGTTCTCTTTTTATAGAGACTCATAAGATTTTTAAACTTATTGTCCTTCCAGGGGGCTCATAGTTTATATAGTTTAAGAATTATAAACGTTCTCACAAACAGAGACTCATAAGATGTTTAACCTTAACTTCGTTGTAGGGGCTTAACTTCTTTCTAGGGGCTTAACTTCTTATGAAAACAAAAATCCCTGTTCTCAACCAAAACATATATATATATATGTATAAATCTCTAACATAGATCTTATTTTAACATGAGTCGACACACAGCTGGAACTCATCAGGCACGCAGCCACTCTCTCTCTGTTTCACACAAACACACACACACACACACACAGGCTCCGTTCCTCTCATACACACACATACACACACAGGCTTCGTTCCTCTCATACACACACGAAAAGAATGCATCCGTTCATACAAAGCATGCTTACCGCCGTTCCTATTTTCCTTTATATTCCTTTGCTAAATTTCTGCTACCTTCAGGTTGTAGACATTCAAAAGAGAGGATTACTTCAGACAAATACTTCGTCAAATAGATTCTGAGCGGTTAACATACAATTGAATATCTTCTACAACCTGCAGTTCCCAGAACTGACTTGAGAGTTAATCTAATAACTATCAAGATTTATGGCCCATCATATTGATCGCCTCGTTTTCAAGGGCTTCCTTAAATTAACGGCGTCCTAAAAGTATACTTTTTACTTATTTTCTAGCCTTATTCCTTCATGCCTTTCCTGGACACTCTCTCACACTTTTTCCAAGCCAAAATATGTGTGCCCAGTGTCAATAATTTCTATAGACACTCCCCCCTGTTTGCGTTGTTCTCAACGCAAACTAATTTAGAAAATTTAGAACGGAATTCCTATCACACAGCAAAAAAACAGCAAAACGCACGCACAAGTAATTTGACGGTACATCTTGAACGCACACACTCTGGACTCACAAAATGGCCAGCGCCCAATGTTAGTGATTAAGCTCACCTTATCTGCCGGCTTCTTGAGCGGGAGTCACTTTGTAGCCCAGGAATGGAATGCAGAGAAAAGATGTATCACGTCCCAAAAAATGAAACAACCTCGTCGCCATTAATGTGGTGTCCAAAACAAACCTTTGCTGATAATGCCGTGATGATAAGAAGTCCGCCGACACTGTACTTTGTTTATAAAGGTTTATTATAACAAAGAGTTTCAGCGTCAGATTTACAGATACCTGCAGATATCTGAAGAACAGCAGGAGCCAATTCTGTAATTCGCTATTCTTCCTTTCCCTCTGTTCAAGACATGGTATTTATATCATATATGACATAGTATGGCGTGATTTTAATACCCAATCCCTGGCCTTTCCTACATATCTTCCCATATCCTTTTTTCCAGGAACTTAGTGATGATTGCCAGATGTTTCAGCAAGCAGAGCCAAGTTTCCTCTATTCCAAGAAACCTCTGTAGCAATGCTTTTCCAAATGCTTTAGCAAAGTAGAGTAAAGTTAATCTATTACACCATTTGCAAACATCAGCAAAATCCTAGAGCCAAGTTTCCTCTAACACACTTTTTGCAAAGGTCAGCACAATCACAGACTCTAAGACACTACACCCCCCACATACATTAATTTATTTAATTTTTTCATACTGGCCCCCCGTGGAAAATGAACCCACAACCCTGGCGTTGCAAACGCCATGCTCTACCAACTGAGCTACATCCCTGCTGGCCATTCCATCCCCTACCCTGGACGACGCTGTGCCAATTGTGCGCCGCCCCATGGGTCTCCCGGTCGCGGCCGGCTACGACAGAGCCTGATTGGCTCAAACGCATTAAGAAGGAAAGAAATTCCACAAATTAACTTTTAAGAAGGCACACCTGTTAATTGAAATGCATTCCAGGTGACTACCTCATGAAGCTGGTTGAGAGAATGCTCAAAGCTGTCATCATGGCAAAGGGTGACTATTTGAAGATTTTCAATTATAAAATATATTTTGATTTGTTTAACACTTTTTTGGTTACAACATGATTCCATATGTGTTATTTCATAGTTTTATGTCTTCACTATTATTCTAGAATTGAAAAAATAGTAAAAATAAAGATAAACCCTTGAATGAGTAGGTGTGTCCAAACTGGAAATGGCCATGCAATAATTCTGTGTGCAGTCGGACATGTCGATTATTTGCAGATTAGTAAAGCCAAAAATCTCTGGGAAAAGAAAATGCCTGCCATCCATCTTAAACCAGAGTTGTGAATAAGACTTTATGGTCTCATTGATTGATTGTCCACAGAGCCGATTCAGCCAGACAGCTGCCTTCCCAGGGCAGTGATCCATCCCAGCTGCCTTCCCAGGGAAGTGACCCATCCCATCTGCCTTCCCAGGGGAGTGACCCATCCCAGCTGCCTTCCCAGGGGAGTGACCAATTCCAGCTGCCTTCCCAGGGGAGTGACCCATCCCAGCTGCCTTCCCAGGGAAGTGACCCATCCCATCTGCCTTCCCAGGGGAGTGACCAATCTGCCTTCCCAGGGGAGTGACCCATCCCAGCTGCCTTCCCAGGGGAGTGACCAATTCCAGCTGCCTTCCCAGGGGAGTGACCTGTCCCAGCTGTCTTCCCAGGGGAGTGACCTGTCCCAGCTGTCTTCCCAGGGGAGTGACCCGTCCCAGCTGTCTTCCCAGGGGAGTGACCCGTCCCAGCTGCCTTCCCAGGGGAGTGACCCGTCCCAGAAGAAGGAGGGCAAGTTCCGCATGCTCAATCAGATCTTCCCACTGCAAGAGGAAGGAGCACTATGCCGCCCGCCAGAGAGAGCTGGGCCGCGACGGACACCTGAGGGAGGAGACCTCAGAGGTGGATGACATCATCACCATGTTTGACTGCCTGGCGGACTCCTCCTCGGCCAAGGAGCCTGAAAACGAACGCTCCAAAGTCAGGAAACTGCCTTTGGTCGAAGCGGCGCAGAAACTCAATCCACTCGACATCCGGACGGCGAAGGACTACAAGGGACTGCCTCCCATACGGACACAAAGTCTTCCGCCCATCAATCTGGGAACGTCTTTGCTGGCCATCTCCCAGAGTGCTGTGGAGCAGAGTCACACCACGAGGCCGATGGTCAACCACTTTGCCCACCGCTCTCAGAAAAGCAAGAGTGAGCATGACTTGTTTGACAGCAGGCCGAAGGGACAAGCGTTGGTCAGTCATTCCTGGAAGACCGAGTCCAATCAGTCCATTTTGGCCCACAAATCCTGGATTTCACCCCCAACAGAAAGGCTGTTGGACAAACTGTACCATGAGACTTCCGGACCTATGGATGTCCTCTGCCCTCACCAAGCCCCATACATACAGAAGAATGAACAAGGTATTATTAGTTGTGTCTTTCACAAGGTGGGATGAGTTGAGTCTTTTACAAGGTAGGATGAGTTGAGTCTTTCACAAGGTTGGATGTGTTGAGTTTTTCACAAAAAGGAGAGGCTAACAGTCTCTGGTTTAGCAGAGGGGAAGTGTGACTTACTGAAACATCTAAACTTGTGGTGCATTCTCATGAGTTATCAAGTGAGTCATCACAGTCCTTTCACCAGAGCTAAGCAGCAGTTAGCAAAAAAAACACATCCTGCTAAGATAATATACTGTAGATAGCTACACTTGACTTCACAGTTCACACCTTGAGACCACTTAGATTCAAAACCAGTAGGCCTAACCGTTTTTCTGTCTAAAATAGATTGACATTATTTTGCATGGGAGTGATGCAAGAGAACATGTGTGAACTTCTATGCAGTTGAGTTTCAACAAGGGAACGTAACGTCTGCATTACATTGCCACAACGTATGCATCCAAGTGGATGCTAATAACATGATGTACTTCTCCTCATCACAGCTCCAAATACACAGCTGCTACCTCTGGACAGGTTAAACATGAGGGAAACTGCCCTAACACGGAACTGCTTGGCCCCCATTCGTGACCACACCGGTGTAAGTACTTTTTTCATGACTATGTAGCCTTGAAAACTTCAGAGCTCTGAATGCATGCATGAATCCGATTCCTTTCTGTGCTAAAACTAGAGGGCTCGATGTTATATTCTGTAAGGGAAACAGGTCCCATCCTTGGGGATGTATTGTCATGCCTTAGTATCACTGTCAACATCACAATCTATACAACATGTTCCACTACAATTTCAGTATAGCCAGCCTAGTGCTACTAGAGTGTACACATAGCTTTGTGACTTTTTCGGTCAAGTCTTGAGGCAGTGTCTGTAGACGGCGGCTGTAGTGTTTCACTCCAGAGTGGCAGAGTCACATTCAGTGCACAGGAAGGTATGTCCGAATGTTGAGAGGTGGAGGTGTAGACATGATCGCCAACACATCACCAAACACTTAACAAGCTTTTCCCTCTGCAGTCTCCTTGCCACCAGATCAAGTCTCTAAAGGGGTGAAGAAGTGCAAGTCCCTGCCTCTCAACACCCTGGGTCGGGGACAAGGAGGTCTCCCGCCACCTGTGACCTCCAAGTCCCAGAGGCCAGGGATCCCCCAAAGCCCGTCCTTGTGCTCCTTCCTGCCCATGCTGAATGGAGACCCTCTGAGGAGCGTCCAGGTGCTCCCCGCCATCCCATCCCAGAGGAAACACAGCCCCACTGTGGGCCAACCCAAAATGGACACCCTCAGTAAACTGGACAACAGAACCTGATGCAACCGCATGGCTCATTGGAGGCTTGGGGAGATATGTGGTGGAGTGGACCTGATTGGAACTGGGACTTGGCTGGGTTAGCTAGCAGCAGGCCATTTTCTGTGGAATTTGTCCCCAAGTGTAAAAAAATATATATAAAAATTGGCCCTGAGTGTACAAACTGACTAAACTCATCAAAAGGAACTCTACTGTATGCCACAGTAAATTGCTCAAGACATTGCAAACATTTGTTAATAAACAGCATCCTATTTTTACACGTTTATACTGTACTTTGTGGTGGAAACTCCACAATTCAAGGCATGCACTGTGTACTGTTTGATTTCCTTGCACTTTGAAATTGAGGCTTTATGTTTAGTTTGTCATGTGACTGTTTCGCTAAATGAATAAAACATATGACATTTGTATTCTTTTTGCCTGCGTTTGGATATTTTTCAGTTGTGTGAAGGAGAGGAGGCACAGATACGTTTGCCTATGCACGATCAACTTATTGATCCATTCCTGATCATCATACAGGAAATGTCTATGATCCTCCATTATTACTGGTCTGACAGTTTTTTATCTATTCCCCTTTCATGTATCTTTTCTCCAAGCCGTCCTGGCGCTAGGGCAGAGATCTATGTTGACTATTATCACTACTGTAACCACTAGGGAGGTCTGAGTATGTGGGAGGGGAAGGGGATGGGGCAGGACGTGCATTTTTTTTGTCAAAAGAAAATCAAGCATATTCATGGTGGTAGTGTAATGACATTGGTGACCTGAGTGAGATACACTTACTGCTGAGACCTGAAGACTTGGGTTAGCTCCCCCAAGCGTATGGCCATAGGCTTTAGCTCAGTGGGCTGCTACAGTCTTGTTGTAGGGCGGCAGGTAGCTTAGTGGTTAAGAGTGTTGTGCCAGTAACCGAAAAGTCGCTGGTTCTAATCCCCAAGCTGACTAGGTGAAAAATCTGTTGATGTGCCCTTGAGCAAGGCACTTAACCCTAATTGCTCATGTAAGTTGCTCTGGATAAGAGTGTCTGCTAAATGACTAAAATGTAAATGTTGTGGCAGGAGACCTGAGCACACAGTCCTTGGTCGCTGGTCACATTCATGGTGCTTTTAAGACAACTGGGAACCTGGGGAAAAAAACGATGTCAAGTCATGACATCAGTGACCTTCAGGTCGGAAAGTCCACGGGGGGGTGTCATTCGTCCTCGCTCTGCTGACCAGTATGTTGCTCTGCTCTGCTCATACAGGAGTAATAAAGGCCTAGTGCACTAATTTGGTGCGTGGGGGAAAAAATGACAAAAAAAGGAAATTAAAACCTGTAGTATTATTAATGAATATGATTTGTTTGTGTAGGATTTCTGGCAATGTAAAAAGTTTGTATGTATGCTGTTTTGTATGTGACTATTCCTCTTTTGTTTGTTGATGTTTATTGTTTGTTAAGAAACAAAAATGAAGAAAAAAAAGGAAAAAGGTTTGAAACCACTTAATTTATTCAATTCTCCATAGTATAGCTTCCTCGGTTCTCTGTTAGGATAGTAATTAAACAAAGCAACATACAGTCCTTGTTGTTGAGCTTGTAGTGTCAGTTAGCCTACATATGATTCAGCCACAGACAAACAAGTCAAGCTAGGCTCTGTGGGTGGTCATGTCCTGGGGTATAATTAAGCAATAAGGCCGTTGGAGGTGTGGTATATGGCCAATATACCGCTGCTAAGGGCTGTTCTTAGCAAGATGCAACACTGAGTGCCTGGACACAGCCCTTAGCTGTGGTATATTGGCCATATATCACAAACCTCCGAGGAGCCTTATTGCTATTATAAACAGTTTATAATCGCAGATAGAACAATGAGCCAGATATTTCACCTGATGTATAAGTGTGACGCGTCCAGCTGGCGTTTCCACTCACTACCAAATATCGTGATGAGAGGATGCCAAGTGGCCTGCAGTGGGAGAAGATGGATTTTGGCCGACATTATGCTAATTTTCGCATCTATGAAACATTTGATACGTTTTATAGATTTTACGCTTTGCCAAAGTAAAACAATTAATGTTGTTTAGAAGGAGTGCAAGGGCGAATTGAGTTATTGGACACGCGCACTTCACAAAGTAGGCGTTTTCTAACGGAAATATGCAAATACATGCTAGAACGCGCCAATAGGATCTCGCCAACTTGTGCTTGGCTCTGCCACGCTCCTTGCTTGTTCTGCCCACTATGACAAATGTGTTCCAATTGGGTTAGTTATACAAATCTTTGGTATAATCATTAGCCAAACAGTTACACATTTTGCAACTGAAGCGAGAGTTTCTATAGGACAAATTAAGGTAGGTCCCTTCCCGTTTCGTTTTTGGGTGTAGTCTGCCATAAAACCCACAGAAGAAGAAGAAGAAGAAGAAGTAGTAACTGGTCCCAAACCCAACCACAGTCCCGCAATGTTTTTAGTCATATGTATGTGACACAGCTCACTTGCCAGTGTAGTGTCTGAGGGTCTAGGATTTTGCTGATGTTTGCAAATGGTGTAATGGATGAACTTTACTCTACTTTGCTGAAACATCTGGAAAGCATTACTAAAGTTCCTGGAAAAAAGGATATGGGGAGATATGTGAAAAAGGCCAGGGATTGGATATTAAAATCACGCCATACTATGTCATATATGATATAAATACCATGTCTTGAACAGGAAAAAGGGGGAATAGCGAATTACAGAATTGGCTCTTGCTGTTCTTCAGATATCTGCAGGTATCTGTAAATCTGACGCTGAAACTCTTTGTTATAATAAACCTTTATAAACAAAGTACAGTGTCGGCGGACTTCTTATCATCACGGCATTATCAGCAAAGGTTTGTTTTCGGCCACCACACCAGCCATGGTCCCAGCAATTGTGCGCCCTATAGGCAATATCAAAATGCACAAAAATAACCTAAGAAATAGGTTACCATTTATTTATAAAACCTTTTTTACATAAGCAGATGTCACAAAGTGCTATGCAGAAACCCAGCCTAAAACCCCAAACAGCAAGCAATGCACGTTCTCTTTTGCTACTACGTTTTATAGCCTACCTTTTAGGGGTGGGACGATTTTCAGACGGAGAAAACAGGAGAAAACAACGGAGGATTATCACATTTTTTGATTGCACCTCGACTCACGTTGGTTGAGCCCCATCCACTTTTTTCCATTATCAATATTTATTTACAGACACTGTTGTAAACTATAATCTAATCATATTTAAATTAATTGAATTGGAAAGGTAACTGCCAAGTTATTCCCCACATGCATAGGCAGACTATTTATTTGAGATCACACATATAGGCTACTAGGTGCACTTGATCTGGCGCGCCAGCCAGGAGAGTAGGCTACTGAAGTTGAAGCAGCGAATTCTGAGTGTGTGAATAATGCGACAAATATTTTAATACATTAGGTAGGCTAACGCACACAAAGCAGAAAATCTGCGAGACAACAAAAATATTTTCACCCCAGTCTTCTCATTCCGACCGCGCCGCAGTGATCGGACTCGCAGGTTTCAAATGGTTTTGAGAAGCCAGAGTTTACGTACATTGTTATGTCCATATTAGTATTGCACAAATAACACGTTTTTTTTTAACTTTTCATGGAAACTCCGTTGACTAGGCTTGATTGAATAGGAACATCAGTCTGAAGGCAAGTTGCTCCAGTAGTTCATAGTAAAGTGAATAATACTGATGAATGAAAATGTTACAATTTATTCTGTTCAGTCAGTACATTGACCAAATCACAGGAGGAACAAGAAACTTCTCCCCAATTTTAAAAGCCATAAATATTTTTAATGTTTATAAAATGTAATTTCATTGTTTAATTGCGGACACCTATCGATTGGATAGGTGTCCGCAATTAAATCATGAAATTACATTTTATAAGCATTTAAAATATTTGTCAACCATGAGTGGCTAAAAACAGCTAAAACTACGTTTGAGGCATTTCCACCATATAACTTTTATGGCTTTTATTTTGGTAAATAAAAACATTTTGGCTTTTAAAATTGGGGAGAAGTTTCTTGTTCCTCTTTGATCTCTACAAGTGCCTATAAGGGATTGAGTTCTGACTCCAGCAACATTTCCGGTTGCAGTTTTCTCATTGGAAACGTAATTGGCTCTTGTGATGTCGTATTATAGTGGTGTTGCAGGAGCTAGGAGGAGCCTGTGTCTTGTATAAAGATAAGGAAGTAAGAGGACGCGCTGTTAAATAATGTATGCTCATGTGAGCAGGTGAACTTGCATAAATGCCCGTGTTAATTAGTAACTAACGTCTAGTTATTGCAATATCATACTCTATTCTAGTAAACCAGTATGAGAAAGACATCACCTCCAGACAGGAGCAACAGACCTGAGTTACTCGTGAGACAGAAGATAACTTTCCAGACGAGTTCACCGTGTCAGCAGAAAAGACCACAGTCAAGATCAAACCGGAAGATTCAAGTTCTTGCGCACTCGACCTTCAGAGTGGATGTTCCGTAAGTGAAATATCAAATTACATGCTAAAACATGATAATAGGTTCTCGCTTGCTCTGAACAGAGCGTTACAACGATACCCATTGTAAAAAAAACAACATCTGAACTATCTTGGCTTAACGATAAGAATCTTTCACCATTTCCTACCGAACTACCTCCCCACTAGGCACAGAGGTCAGTTCTACGTCTACTTTGGATTAACATTAGATTGAGTTGTCAACGAAGCGTGAATTCAACGTGAAATCAACAACAAATGACACAATGTCATTGGATTTAGGTTAAAAGTTGGATGAAAAAAAGACTAAATGCCCTTACGTTGATTACTTTTTGCAAATCCAATCCGTTTTTCACATTGATTCAACGTCATCACATAGCTTTTCTTTGATTGAAATGACGTGGAAACAAACACACAGACAATGTTGATTCAACCCGTTTTTGCCCAGTGGGTCATGTCTTTTACTCACTGATCAACAATGGAGACACCTGTCCCTGAGCAGCTGCTGGCCATTCTAGAGGAGAACCTGTGTGAAATAAAACTGAAGAAATTCAAATGGCACCTGGTCCAGGGCATAAAAGGCTTCCCTCAACACATCCCAAAGGCCAGGCTGGACAAAGCCGACCACCAGGACACTGTGGATAGGATGGTGGAGACTTACGGCCTTGAGGGCGCAAAGAAGATCACACTGGAGATCCTGGGGAAGATGAAGCTGATTGATCGCACTAATAAGTGGACAGAACCAGCAGGTGAGATGATTTTAAAACATTTAAAGGGATAATATTCATCATCATGATAGTCATATTGTGTTCGTATTGAAATGGCAATGGTCTGGCTCTGGCCTGTTCAAGGACTACAAGTTATACCCATTAGGGTATGGTATGTTCATGACAATATTATGATGCTGTGATGATGTACAGTTGATGTGTTTCAGAATGTA